CCTCTAAAATAATTCTCATTCGTACCTGAGTACGTAGTTTAAACAATTATTCCATACTTTAAATAAATATACATGCAAATTAAGCATAAAACCCTCCGTTGCGCAAACGACCCATGGGTCTCTTTTGTCAGTATTTCATACAATAAATTCATGATCAGTCTAAAAGTAGAGATTCTATGCAGCATACATTCTATTTAAAAAGGAACTTTGGAAAGAAAGTTTTTATGAAAAAAAAATAGAAATTAATTTTCGGCTTCCTGAATTTAAAAGAAAATTCCAGAATCTTTTTACACCATGTATATCAGTGTACTGCGTAAAATGTATTAAGAAGCGTTCTGGGAACCGTGTTTTTTGTATAAAAATGTCTCTATTCGTTTCCCAATAGTCCCCTACAATGAAAATGAAAATTCTGAAACCTTATCGCACATCTACATGTCATATTCTGAAAAATGAAATGGCTAAGCGTATAATGTAAGAGAAGTTTAAGGAAGAAGAATATGTCGTTTTTTGACCCTCAAGTTGGCTCTTATTGTTAAAATGAAAATTTTAAAACTTCTTTGCGCATCTACAGGACACCACCAATATTAATCATATTCCAAAATATAAATTGGCTACATCTTAAATTTAAAAACTTGGAGTTTCACCTACTTTTTGAAAAAAAACAAAAAACAAAAAAAAAAACCTTCAATCCTGGCCATGAATTTGGAACGGCTGGTGGTACTTTCATATTAGTATTTCTTTTGACAAGGCCTTTCTATGAGTACCAACATTTTGACTTATTGACCTTGGAGTTTGACTTACTTTTGTAGAACTTATACCACAACTTTGGAACGTTTGGTGCTAGGGCTTCTATATTTCACTTTTATTTTTCTCATGACAAGACTTGTTTTGGGTTCCAATTAATACTTTTTACCCCATGACCATGGAGTTTGACCTACTTTTGAAAAAAAAAAGCTGCCATACAGGGGCATCTGTGTTTGAAAAGCAATTTTTATGAATATGGCTGGGGCATATAGAGTTTATCATGTCCGTCTTCTGTCCTTCCATCCTTCTTCTGTCTCTCCGTCTGTCCTTCCGTCCCGCTTTGCGTTTAGCTCAGTTCAAAGCTAATTCAAAGAAACTATTGCAGATATTTTTATCAAACTTCATATGCTGATAGATATTGATAAGAGCTATTCAATTGCATCTACATTTTTTACCTTGACCTTTTCTTTGACCTTGACCTCACTTTTCTTTAATTAGTGTTTAGTTCAGTTTTAAAGAAACCATTCAAGATAATGTAATCAAACTTCATATGCTAATGCATACTAATGTGAGCTATTTAACTGCATTAACATTTTTTTGACCTTGGCCTTTCCATTGACCTTGACCTCACATTTCTTAAATTAGTGTTTAGCACAGTTTTAAAGAAACTATTCAAGATAGTGTAATCAAACTTCATATGGTATACACAATGACCTTAGCTTTTCAACTGCATCAAAATGTTTTGACCTTGACATTTCCTTTGACCTTGTCCTAACTTTTCTTAAATTAGTGTTTAGCTCATTTTAACGAAACCATTCAAAATACTTTTTTTTCAAACTTCATATGCTGATACATACATGTACTGATGAGAGCTATGAACTGCATCAAAATGTTTTGACCTTGGCTTTTCCTTTGACCTTGACTTCACTTTTCTTAAATTAGTGTTTAGCTCAATTCAGGATAGTATTATCAAACTTCATATGCTGATATATATTGATGAGAGCTATTCAACTGCATTAATATTTTTTTTACCTTGACCTTTTCTTTGACCATGATCTCACTTGTCTTAAATTTGTGTTTAGCTCAGTTTTAAAGAAACCATTCATGATATTTTTATCAATATCCATATGCTAATACATACTGATGTAAGCTTTTCAAGTGCATCAACATTTATTGACCTCGACCTCTCCTTTGACATCACTTTTATTTAAAATTAGTGTTAAGCTTAGTTTTAAATAAACCATTCAAGATATTTTCATCAAACTTAATATGCTGATACCTATTAGTGAGAGCTATTCAATTGCATCAAAAACTTGCACTTGCACTTCTCTATGACCTTGACCTCACTTTTCTTTAATTTTCATTTTCCTTAGTTTTCAAGAAATCATTTAAGATATTTTTATGTTGCTTATGCACTTATACATAACTGGGTGAGAATTTATCAGTTATATCCAATTTTTTTTTAGATTTCAGTTTTGATTTTTAAAGAATCTATTCAAGATATTCACATCAAACTTCATGCACTAATACAAAATTTCATGCTGCATTACTAATATACACTCAGTGTTGCATTTATGTCCTATCGACATATTTCTAGTTTTTTTTCTCTCTCTTCTCTCTCTCTGACATGCTGAAAAAACAGCATTAGAAATGTGTGATTTCTCACTGATATTTATTACGTGCACACTATTCATTGAAATTTTTGCTGAATATACTACATGTAAGTGAAATAAGACTTTTATCAGTACATGTATGACGTTTCTTGAAACTTTTAATCTTCATTATTAAGCGTTTTTATAATAATTTTCCCGCTAAAATTTTGTTTTGACTTTCTTTATTAATTACTTTCAACAATCGATATGCTATTTTTTAAAAAGCTTATATCCATAACATAGGGTTGATGAACATGTGAATGTTTCTAAGTAGAATTTTAATCTACTGGACAGCTGTGCATCATAGGATAAATAAGATTAAAACAATGTCTATTTTAATCTAGTTCTGCGGAATTTCGTAATATTTTCTTCAAATATTATATAATAACAAGAGGACCAAGAGCCTTAACGGTCTTCTGAGTGTAATGTAATCCATATATTAAAAAAAAAATAAGCTGATATTAAATGAAGCTATGTTGCCCAAAAGCAAGGGAAATAGGATGATCAGGGATCAGCAAAATATTAATTTAGTACTCAGTAACAAATCTTAAAGTTGATCTATTTATTTGCCTATACTTTCCCTATTTATCACTATCCCCATGCTGACTAAACAAAACAATAGTTCTAGAGCACTATTAGTTAACACATTTCATTCCCCTCACAATGGCCTTTTTTATCTTTGAAGATTATCTAAGGTCAGACTACACGTTCCTCAATAATGTATAATTTTCCCCAAGAATTTGTCATTGAAATAGTGCTACTTTAACAAGTTTCCTCACAAAAAATTAAGGTACCTTACCAGGCGTTTTTGCAAGATACCAGAGGATGCTATTTACTATATAACCCTATTGGAAATCGCTAGCAATGCCAATGTCGCATTTTTTTGTGGCTTTATCTACTTAGACATTTTGAAAACAGTTTAAAAATCACAGAAAATGATAATTAATTAACTTGTAAATTACGAAGAGATACAAAACAAATATTTGAGCAACGTGTCGTCAGACCTTAATGTAAAAAGATACGGTATTTTTGTCCCATTTTCATTTATCTATTATTTAAAAGTCTATCTGACCATTAAAAACTATTAAAGTACTTTTTGTACTAAGTTTTATTAACATTCTTGTATAATTCTGTTATTCAATTGACCTTTTAAGTTACATTACTTACAATGATTAACTCTCATAGGTGTATAGAAAGGGGAATAACTTCTTTCAGTAGAATTAATAAATTGACCAGAGGGTACAGAATTTCAATATCTGGTAAAAACACCCTTGCTTGTTACAACTTTATATACTCTGTTTGCCTCCTAGATGCCCAGGAGCAGAGGAGAAGATTTTCAAAGAAATAATCCATTTTTCACTATAGATTCAATATAGCCCCACCATAATACCATAGCCCCTGACCCAGGGGCCAAGATATTCACAATTTTGGAAGAGGCACTCTTGCTCATGATAACCATTCACTTAGTATGTTTCCTTATTTAGAATGGGCAGAGAAATAATTCATTTCTACTATTTTTTTCAAAAGAGCCTCACCCTAACACTAAAACTTAACCCCGGGGCTATGAATTTCAATCTTTTTGAAAAGACATCCTTGCTCATCATAACTATACAATTAGTTTTTCTGCTAAAAACCCAGGGACAGAGAAGAAGTTTTTTTAATTTCAGATAATGCATTTCCATTATATATTCCAAGACCCCCCCCCCCCATGAACCCTTGGGCCACAAATTTCATTATTTTGGAAGAGGCATCTTTGCTCATCATAACCGTGCAATAAGTTTATCTGCTATATACTAGTATCCAGGGCAGGTTTTCAAAGAATTAATGCAAATTCACTAGATAATCAATGGAGCCCCGCTCTAACACCAGAACCCCTGACCCAAGTGCCAAAATATTCACAATTTTGGAGAGCTCATCATAACTTTATACCTGGATTATCCGCTGAATACCGAAGAAGATTTTCACAGAAATAATGCACTTTCAAATTAATTGCTTGTGGCAAGACCAACAGTTTTGACCCTTTGATGGTGACCTCTAAGTTTGACTTACTTTTAAAAAGCTATAACGGCCATAACATTGGAAAAGCTTGGGCTAGGATTTTCATATTTCACAGAAACATTTCTTGTGAGAAGATCTTCCCTTGAATACCAACAGTTTTGCCCTTTTTTGTTAACCCTGGATTTTGACCTTTTTTGAAAACTTTAAGTTTTAAAAAGTTGGTGTTAGGGCTTTCATATTTCACATGTATACGTCTTCTGAAAACACCTTCCTTGGGCACCATTTATTTGGACCCTTTGACCTTGGCCTTTGAGTTTGATCGACTTTGACATGAACACAGTTAATGCTAGGGCTTTCATATTTCACAGGTGTATTCCTGTGACAAGACTTTTCTCTGGGTACCAACATTCTTTTATCTATTGACCTTGGAATTTGACTTGTATTTGAGAAACTTTAGCCTTCACCACGAGTTGCATACGGGGGCTTTAGTATTTCGCAAACATCTCTTGTTTTTAATAAATTTCAAACATCCTTATCACAAAAATATTTCAAGATAATATGAATTCTACAGAAAAGGTAATTAGGCTTATTCCTAAAATGCATCATAAAAGAAGCGGGTTGGAATTACAAATCAAAATTCATAGATGTGTAATATTATTAATTGCTGAGGATTGAGAGAATCTCGATGAAGGCTCCGTGTTTGGTGAAGACGAGGTGGACCTTACTGATCATGATGAACTCGCCAACCTTTCCAATATTTATATCCGGATTCGGGTTGCGTATTAGATCCAGTGTGAAATTCTACTTTATATCCACAACATTTGCAAAGCGTCCTTCGAAGTTAACCGCAGGTTCGGTCATCATCCTTTCAGAAAGGTGATCATAGGTGAGTACAATAATGGATTGCAGAGGATAGAGAGATTTTAGGTAAAGGCTCGGACCTAACAGAAGACGAACTTACTGATGAACTTGCAGACCTTACCGATGATATATGTGCGGATTCGGTTTGTGTATTAGTCCTAGATCCAGTGTGCAAATCGCTTTTATATCCACAACATCTGCAAAGTGCTCTTTGAAACTGGGGTGTGCTGATAAAGTAGATATAAGGATTAATAGAATAGTTTACCAAAAGAAGTGTTCGCCCAATGTGTCCAAGAACAATAAACCATACGTCAGTCATATGACAAACAGACATTTCGATGATATCTCGGACGTTGATGGGCGTGGTTGTAATCACATATACACCTATCACTATTGATATGATCTGGGACACTTTTCTAGTCGTTTTATTCCTGTTGTTCACCAACGATTTCTTCAACGCTATGATTTTCATTGTGTGTAAAAGGCCTAGTACACAAATGGGTCCAACAGTTAAAAGAACAGTGTACACTAGGTTTAATGACGCTGCTGCCTCTTTCTTCTTTGTCAGGAATGTTAAATAGACGTACGGAAACGACAGGATTGCAGCAAATATCCAAATAATTGCTGAGACAATCAGGACTCGTTTGCTTCTCATCCACACCAAACTTTTTAATGGATAGGCAATCATAAGGTACTGTTGTACAGAGAGAAGTATCACGTGCCCGATGGATGAAAAAACGGAGGATAAAAATAAATAAATTATTGCAAGAAAAACTTTGTTTGGCATGCCTGTAAAAGTGAATATCAGAAATCTACACATTAAAAATAAAGCATCGGGAATGGTTAACATTCTTATACCGGTGTACAGCGGTTTGTGGAGCCGTTTCTCAGCACATATTACAATAAAAACTGTTAAGTTAGATAACATCCCAAATATGGATAAAACCTGCAGAAAAACGGTCATTGGTTTGCATTTATCCAGCTCCCAGCAGGATGATTTTCCATAGGTAGCGTTAATGTACGTACAGGTGTACCAGGTAGAGCCAACTTTGGCCTCACCTGTGCTGTTCGGTAGAATATCCATCTCTAATTATACTGATGTCACTGATCCTTGTATTACGAGGTGTTACTGTCAAGTGTCTATTTTTATTATAATCAATCAAACTTAGAATCGTTTTATATGATTGATCTTCCCACTCCGGGGTATTATTTGCATAAAAATGATTCAACATTAATGTCGTCATGTTTCATGCTGCTGATGGCTTTTCCAGTATCTGTTGCAGTCAAAATACTGGCCTCGGGTTGATTCTAAAAACAAATGGGGAAACCAACTTTTGCGATGCCTGTTCATAATTTAACGCAACTGTTATACACGTACTTAACGAATTCCACATATTTGTTAAAACAGATTAGATTAATTCGTTATAACGAATTCAAAGAAATTGTTATAATGAATTAAATTCGTTATAACAAATTTGTTTCCGTACTTTTGAACGTCTTTCTATGAAATGTCATTGTGCCCGCGCTAACTCTATTGTGTCCTGAAATAAATTAATAAGACATTTGTTTTACAGGCCATGAAAAAGCGTAGAGGCCTTAGGGTCATGCATTTACTCGTTTTAAAATACAATTTATGACTTTTCATATGCAAGAGAATCGGTATATTTTCCATTAATGAAGCACTTTTAGCTCAACTGAGCTAAATGCTTGAGCTTGTATAATCCAAAAGTCTTTCTCCCTGTCTGGTATGTCGACTAACTTTTTCTTTTTACATTTTCATTTCCATCTTAGGAAACTTTGAGCCAGTATCAGTTACTGGGTACAGAATATCCTCAGATAAAGGAAAATATTATTTCACTAATAAGATTGACTAAATTCATTTTTAAATGGCAAAAATAATAATTATGTGAAAAATAGGATTTGGTCGTTCAAAACTATATCCTCTAGAACCATTTGATAAACGAAGACAAACATTAAACCTTTATTTCATAGTACATGTATAAGCGGGAGAAAAAAATACAGATAAGCCAGGATATAAATAGTCAAATTTTTTATGCAAGCAGTTTAAATTTTGTCAAACCTTGATTCTCTGGGCCATAGGATAAGGGCTTAAGCCTAAAATGAAAAATTTGGATATGAACAGAATTTCAAATGATAGATTGTAATCTATCGACTAATCCAAAAGTAAGTCTGATTTTGGAAAGAAACTGCAATATTTCATCGGCTGTCGTAAGGAAAGTCGCAGAACTTATTTTAAAAAGTTGATAATTACAAGAAGTACGAGTAGTTAATTAAGTGGAGGTGTGTCCAGAGAGTACAATCAACTTTCAATTTCCATTCATTCCTATTCGTAAAATCAGATCATATTGTCTGGGGAAGGGGTCTGCTCCGTTTGGCAAGTTGGAGTGTCACCAAAAAAATCAGTCGGAAGGCGTTCCCCTTTCTGTTACTCTGATGCTCTCGTTTGCAAAGAGCCTTGTTTTGCCAATTAATGAGCTGGGACTTACCTTTCATCTCAGGGAAGAGGGTGAAGTGCTATCTAGGCTCCTCCTTTACGAGGGACAAAATGAAATGTTTTCTGATGAGGCAATTAAATCATGAGTTTTTACCAAAATCCGGCTATTATCGACAAAATTGGGAAAAACACGGAATACAGATAATATTTATTTGTGTTTTGTTTTAGGATTTTCAGCAGAATGTTTACAATTGGTGACATTAATCAACGAGAGGCACTTCTTGATGAAAATATTTGTGACCAGTTCATTTGATTGAATGCGGTTTACGTCGATCAAACATCTTTTTTGAGCAATGCATACAATTTTGCAAATGCCTCAAGCCACTCTCATTAATTTTTATGGTTTTACTTTCTAATGCGACTATGAAGGTTGTTCGTCATGGCCCCATTATAATAACTTTGCGTTACTCCCTAAATACTTGCAAATTTTGGGGTTAAGGTATTTAAGGGCTTTCAAAAATTTCTTAATCAATTTTTTTTTTCATTAAAATATCTAAAACAGCTTATTCAAACGAACCAAAAAGTCCATGTAAGAAATACCTTACTATGCTTATTTTCTTGCAATATGTCTAGGAGTACAAACCTCTCAGAATGAAAAGCAAAATTTAATGAGAAGGACAATCTCATGTGTTACTGCTCCAAAACACATTAGATTTATAACTTATGAAAATTTAAATTATTCAATGGCTAAGAGAATCAACGAAGATTTTCGATTGAAAATATTAGTAAATTCATGAAAAATCAGCTCACGTCCTCACAAATCACAAAATACTATAATTTTTAATATATTTATGAAAATTTAAATTGTGTACATGGAATTTTCTTTAGAAACATTTAGAGTTACATCTAAGGTTAACAAAACGCACATTTTAACATGGTTTATCGCATGGATTTGGTATAATGGTCTCGTAAAAATATATACCCTCATTTGGCGATATAAACTTTTACAGTGATTATATTCTTTGCAAACTTTGAAAATAGTAAAAGTAAAAAGCAGGTACTGTCTTAAAATCAAGAAATTTTTTTTAACTCAGGACAATTTGTGTAAAAGAAAACAACTGAAAACGTGGTCGTAACAGGCACTAAGATAAGTGTGTTATTTTTTGAATGACGTCAGTTTTAAGTCCCATAAAAATTGAACCAGAGGAGGCTATAATTTCCTTTCTATTCGTCGCTGTATCTGTCTGCACAGCTGGAAGCACGCACAATCAAAACATTTTCATTACTTTAAATTATAGAGGCTATACTTTCCGTGTTCACTATTCAATGCAATGCTTTCCTTGTACTTTCTATAGTCTTTGAAGCCGACCGCGGTGTGCGATGCTGAGGAAACACACTTTTTTATCGCTGCATTCGTGTATGGTTAAGGATTATTACAAAAGATAACGTGTCTTTGAAAATTTCTATAGGTGAAGTGATAACTGGAAGTTTACTACGGACTTAAATTAACTCCCTATGGCTATCAACTTATATTTTCCTGCTATGATTGATTGATTGATTGTTGTTAACGTCCCGTTCGAGTATTTTTCACTCATATAGAAACGTCACCATACACCGGTGAAAGGCTTCAAATTTAGACCTTTACTCGGTACTCAGGACCATTGAACAGTGAGGGTTCTTAATCGTGCAAACGCCTACTATGATACGGGGCCTCGGTTTTTAAGGTTTCATCCGAAGGACCATCAACTTTCACTTCAAAGTGCCGAGCGCTTGGCGAAGGAACAGTTGCTACCTATTTTTTATCGACTTACGTCAGTCGCGGCCGTGATTCGAACAGACGACTTTCCGATCACGGAGCGAGCGCTCGGCATTCAGGGCCATTGAACAGTGAGGGTTCTTTATCTTGCCAATGCCTACCGTGACATGGGGTCTCGGTTTCCAAGGTTTCATCCGAAGTACCCGCAACTTTCACTTCGAGGTCGAATGTTCATCCCCGGGCTGGGGCGGAAGTGGGTATCCTTATAAAAGCGCTTTCTATATTAATATTTCTTCACTTAGGGCAGTTATGTTAGTTTAAGAGTTGTTGTTAAATGTGCTTTATAAATAAAAATTAATTTCATTTCAACGTGTATTGGTAACGATCCTTTAATAAAACTAATGTCCAAATAACTCCATTCTCAATGACCGTGTAGTGTAGAGAGCGCCGCGAGAATTCCATCGGCATCGAAAGGAAGTTTTCGACTTGCCTAGATAGCCGAGCGGTCTAGCGCGCTGTTCCTGTACTGCTAGGAGACAGATTCCGTAGGTCGAGAGGTCAATCCCGGGCTGGGGCGGAAGTGGGTATCCTTATAAAAGTGAATTTCTTTGTGCTTTCTATATATATAGATATAGATATAGATATATATATATATATATATATATATATTTAATATGCATGTATATACAAGTAGCTATCACAAGTTTCACATTGTTTTTATATGTGAATCCACTTCATATGACTTCATCACTTTTACTCAAAAACCATTGTGACGTGAGAACTGTTGATATGTTTATTTGCTGTTTGACGTCCCTCTCGAAAATTTTTCACTCATATGGAGACGCCACCACTTGCCGGTGGAGGGCTTCAAATTTTAACCTATACTAGGCATTCAGGGCCATGGAGCAGTGAGGGATCTTTATTGTGCTATCATCTACTGCGACACGGGACCTCGGTTTATACGTCTGATCCAAAGGACCGGCCTCCATGTCCCGCAGTAGGATTCCAGCCCTTGGGCCTCTTGTTTTGTTTGTATTTTCTTTGGCTCACTGTCCTCGTCTTTTATTTTCAGTTTATTTTCCTCGTCTTGTACATCTAGTTTATTGTCTTTGTTTTGCGTGTGTGTCTTCTTTTTTCTCATTTGTATTTCATTTTGCACAGCATTCATGGTAAAAATTCAGCTAACATTCACTCTTTGCACGTAATCATAGTTCTCACGTACTTAGGTGTTTATGAAATATACTTAAAGCATAAAAACCGTCCAACATTTATGAAATGCTTACACAGTGAAGGATGTGACAAATTGAAAGTCGAATATACAAAGATGAACAGAGTTAGTCTCTTATACAAAGTCAACCGTATAAGAAAGAAAATAGATAAACTTCATATATACAGCAACAAAGAGAAATTAAATACATACTTAAGCAACATCTTTGAATTGCCACAATCAAAATAAAACTCACTGATAAGTAATAGAAGTGGAGAGGAAGTTAAGAACAAGGAAATTCGAAAAGAGGATTCGTAAAGAACTGAGAAAAGTTACGGAAGATGAACTATTGAAGAAGAAACTGAAAATTATCTCAGAGCAGGGTACTTTAATTGCACACTTAGGAGGGAGAACTCAGCTCTTAAAGCCTAAATAAGAGGTTTCAGTTTAATACTGGTGACAAAGTTTTGTATGCAGGTTTAAGAGGAGTCTGTGATGGAAAGGGTGAGACATATGTAAATGTTACACAATATTTTTCATTATGACTAGGGATGGCAACGAATATTCGAACATTCGAATATTCATTCGATGAGTTGATATTCGAATATGAATTTAAGATTCGAATATTCGGTGTTTTTCAGATTTCATAAAAAGAAGTACTGTGATTAATAAATTTTGATTAGAACA